TTAAAAATTGTAAAGTCACAAGCAGAAAAACCCCTAAGTATCACGTGAAAGGCAAATAATCAAACTTTTCCAGGTCGAATTGGTAGGTTTCATGCAAATTTTTCATGCAACTCGCTCACGTATGACCCTCATCTGTGTGGTCCAAATAAGGGAAGTGAGTGGTCAACGAATATTTGGGCTAAGGCAAATGAGGAGGGACTCCACTATATGCCGCTACAATATTGACCTACTGTGAAAATGACTCTTATGATTGTTAACGAATAGTCTAAAATAATATAACTAAAGTAAAATATATTCTGGAAAATAAACGAGGTCTTGACAACTGGCCTTTTGCCAATTAAACAAACACTGGGTTTAATATATAGTTGAAAGTACAAATTTAGGTTATATGATGGAAACTATGGTGGTCGCGTACCACCATCGCTCAGTGCTATCGCTCCGAGTCCCGGAGGTAGAGTGCCGCATAGTTCTCTCGCACCGCTTTGTCTCGCCTGGCTGTAACCAGATGCCGCATCCGGTCTCACACCAGCCAGTCGTGCCTTGATGGCGCGGAAATCCACGCGTGAGATTCTTGATGCCAAGGAGTCAGTGTAAACATAAGCTTCTGAGAACACAACCTTAGTGCCCTCCGAGCTTCGTAGGCAGCTTCTTAGGCGACTTGAGGAATGTGCCCGGTGAAATAAAATGAAAGGGCCAAAACACAATGGCGCTCGCTTATATGATGAAATGACCGTGCCTCTTCTTGAGTTGCAACTTTTTGTGCCTTAAGATTGCTTGTACTAAAAATTGACCAAAGCAACTGCAGATTTTCGCCTACTGTTAAGAATTTATACACAATGTCATCACTGTGGCCCCTAAAGTCCTTGCAGGGCCCCTGCAAGGACTTTTTGACTGGTTTTTAATTTGAACCGAACCTGAGTGCACTGAACGTAGTAACTTAGTGAAACTTTTCTTTTCTTAAAATTCACTTTATTTTAAAAGATATAGGCAAATTAAAATTACAAAAACAAGCACAAAATAACCTCCCTCATGACGTCCTTGGTTGCTTGAGTGGCCGTGAACTAGAGGAGGGTAGTGGGCTCATCGCGAGCGCTCACGGCTGCCGCACTCCGTGTCGACGGCGTGAGAGGGCGCCACTAAAGCAGGTTCTGGATGGGCTGTATGCAGCGGGCAGCCAGAGCAGCTCTCATTGCATTTGCTGTGCGATTAAACACTAATTCGGCATGACACTTCATTGGCCACAAACGACAGCAAACACTAGGTAAAGATCAGTTCAGAATGGAAGACACTTCGCGCTGCCATACTGCGAAACGGCCAAACCGCACGACAAAGCTTCTCGTCAAAGGTATTGAAGGCCTTCGGAACGCTCGGAGCCAGTCAGATCCTCCTGTCGATACGACCGCAGCGCCGCCGCATACATCCGGGACCTTTCCGTGTCGGCACCTGATCCCACTACTCTTTTCTAGTATGTGCCGCCTTTTCCACCGCTTGGTGGCGGGTTTGTTGTGGACGGGTCATTTCTTGTTTCCGTACTTTATAAACTGCATTTGTTTCTTTTCTGATCTATACTTCTGAACAAAAACTACTTTTATAAGTAATTGAAACGGTTCGCACCACTTATATTTTGTATATCGACTAAAAAGAAGCTTTTAGCAGCTCTGACCAGTAGTAAGCCCAGGACCAAAAACGTCACATTTTGCGCGCTTTCGGTGCCGCAGGTCGCCCTCATCGGTGGAGGAGGTTTCCGCGTCGTCCGGTTACAATATGACGCACTGATATTTAGTTACTCTCTCTGTGCCCGCTGGCTTGCCTGAACTTTAAGAGACATGAAAACCACAAAAAAGGTAGACGCTTAAATATGATTGCAGGGCCCCTTTAAAGGGGTCATGAAACGCTTTTCCAACTTTTTCCTCTTTAGCTTTCCTCCCCAGCTCATAAATCGCGCATTCCACGAAACTGTTCTAGAAGACGAAAAGAGGGGAGGGGCCCCCCTTGCTCGGAATCTGGTTTATGTACCCAGACAGAGCCATTGTCCCCCTAGAAGATTAGCCTGTTACTCAAGATTCAGAAAAAAGTTGCTTTCCCCAACCCATTCACCCCGGAGCTGACAGTGCTGTGGAAGCTACGTGCTCGTTGGGCCAGCCACACTTGCCACATGATCACGCTCCTCCGCGCATACTCACGCGCAGAGATTGAGGTCAGGTGATGAAAGGGAGGCAGCTGATTGGTTCGGCAAGCGCGTAGCTTCCACCACAATGTCAACTTAGGGGTGAAGGGACTAAGTGAGGTCCGGTTTTGTGTGACGTGCGTTTGGACCCGATGACGTGCTTTTGGGACCGCGGATGTATCGCAGTGAAAAGGCAGAGAGCTTACGAAGGAGAGGAAGTACGAAATAGTCCGCTGTGTTTTAAAATTTTTGCACTGAAAGTCAGGCTTTTGTTTTTCTACCTTTTTTTCTTTTGGCCCACTGAACGATGTGCTATTAGTAAAATCCCAATCGAAAATGATTTATCCCAACCCAAAATCCGTTTCATGGGCCCTTTAATATTAAAGGGAAACTCCGGTCCATACTTTCGATTTTGGGATTATGGCTGTTTTTAATGCAGTTAACGCCCCTGAATTGCAAGGTGTAATTTTTTTCTCGATATTGTGCGTAGTTTTAAAGATATCGACGTCTCAAAGTTTTGTTTGGGGCGCGGCCGACAAAACCGAAAATAGCCGCTCGAGGTTCCGGCAACACTGGAAATCAACCGCTATGTGGACGTGACGTCAAGATCGTTCTCGTTCAACGACTACGCAGGCCGAGCAGCAGTATACCTCTGTTGCACTAGCCGTCTAAAGATAGGAGGTAAGCTGATTTTGTTTTAATTCTGTATACGTGGTAGTTATCCAGCATATGTAGAAAGAGTTAGTGCGTATACCCAAAAGCTAGCGACTGGAAAACCCGTGAGCTCGTTCAATGCCGTACTCGGCGGCCGCCGCCGCGCGTGCGCTATGCCGTGCCGTACTCGTTGCTTGTATACCCAAAAGCTAGCGACTGGAAAACGAGTGAACTCGTTCGGTGCCGTACTCGGCAGCTGTCGGCGTGCGTGCGGTCTCCCGCACTCGTCGCTAGGCCTAAATTGTCATCGGGGCTCCGTGGTTGGAGTGGCGTTGCTCTACGCCGCGCTGCCAGTAACGTACAGTACTGGGGCCCTCTCGCTTTCGCGCTGCGGGTCAGTCCCAGACACGAAGCTTTGAGGCTCCCCGGCGCGGGCCGCGACGCCCGAACAGACGTGAGCTAAGCTGTAGACGTCTGTTTTTTCGCTATTTTTTCCTCAGGCGCGTAAAAGCCGAATTTGTAAGCTAGCTACGACACTGATTCACCACATAAGTTCGTCCAGGTAGTGAATCTTTGTACAAATAAAAAAAAACAAAAAACCTTGCCGTACTAAAAAGAAAAAGAAAAGTCCTTTGGGCAGTCATTTTCTTCTCAAGGCTAGCAAACGTTTTTGTGGGTGATGAAGAAAAACAGAGAACGTTAGCAAGGTGAGAACACTTTCTTTCCCTTCCGCATTCCCACCCCCACCCACAACAATTTTTTTTATTGGAATACATAGGATTTTAAGTTTTCCATCGTAACGCTTTGACTAAGGCAAGTGTTTTTTTTTGTTTTTTTTTTTGCATTTTTAAATATTATATTTACCTCAAGCCGAACTCGGGTAAATTAGAGTTGTAACTTACAAATCCGAACTTTCGCGATTTCTTTAAAGTCCCTTGTGGTATTCACAAGCGCAATGTTAATTAATACTGCTGCGTTACGGGTTCGAACGATTGGGAGGCGAATGTTTATATCGCATGAGCTTCACGCGGCGGCTGTTCGCTAGTATTCGTTACGGACCTGAATACTACGCACGAGATTGCGTAGTAAACAAGCAGTGACGCAAAGCAGAGCATTATTTTCCTTTTCATTACAAACTTCAGTGTTTGGAGCTAGTTAGTGGTTGTACTCTACATGCCCACCATTCCCCATTCAACAGACATTCAATGTAGCGTGAATGCTCAATCCTCAACACTGCACTTGACAATGACTGTTTCATTTATTGATCAGGATACTTTTATCATGTTTACCTTTTCTGTACATGTACGATGGGCACAGAGCGACGGCACGGCATCCTTTTTAAGCTTCGACCCCTTCGCTGACAAGCCACAAGCAACCAACACCTGTAGGTTTCGTTCGTAACTCTCCGGCGAAAAGTGATCGGAGCAGAGCTTCGATCTGGGGGTCGGCGTCCAAGGCTTTCCAAAGTCCACTCTTCGAACAGCGTTCACCCACACCTTCTCCAATTTCCGATCCGTTGAAAACTTGTGAAAAAGCACCTCCGGGTTGCGCAGCGGGTTGTTTGAGCAGCCCACAGCGCTTTAAGTTGTTCTCGGCATCTTTGAGGAACAGCTGGGCAGTCTTGGGCGCACCGAGTTGCTCGCTGAAACGAGTCTAGAAGTCCTCGCAAGGAAATAAACAAAAGGCTATACCGAAGCTACATGGGCTACAGGTAAAAGCAACGGCTAAACACGCAATCACAAGCCGAAATAGCAGTGGTAGCAACACAAAGAAGCGCGCGCGACGGCTGCGCCGGGCGCCCGTCCGGAACGGAGAAAAAAAAAAAAAGAGAACGATGTTGACATCACGGCCCAATGTTGCTTTAGCGATCGGCAACCCGCTGGCCGCCTGCTAAGGTGCAGCGGCTCGCGGCGGGTCGCATTTTTATTATCGGCATTAGTTGAGAATGCGGCGTCCCACGGACGTGAAATTTTGGCTGGGGTCGTATTTTGTGTCACTAAAGCGATACCAGTAATTTAATTCATTTTGAGTTTTGGCCGGAGTTGCCCTTTAATATTTGCCTGTACTACCCTTGTTTGGCCACATTTTAATGTAACACGTTACGTCACTTAAATAATGCGAGTGTGATGCATACCTGGTGACGTTGGTCGTTGGAAGTTGAAGCCACTACGGGAGGCCGCTAAACAGTCTCCATCTGCTGGTCGAGCTGTGGCAGAAGCTGCGGTGGTGCTTGCTTGTCTCCGCCAGTGCTGGAGGAAGGTTGCTCCTTCAGGGTGTCGGTGAAGTCCCTGAAGAAGTTAGCTTCAGGGCACTTGTCGCCTAAGGCTAGGAGTCCCAGCTGGTGCCGGTCTTGCGGTGTGAGCGGGGGCGCATTTGGAAAAGCTCCTCCGTAGATGTTGTGGATGAGGGCCTGATGCTTACAGAATGCGCCCTGCTGTCCGGCTCGACAGGTGCAGGCTCCGATGTCCGGGAACACCTGATACACCTTGTCGTCTTCCCGACCGCTGGGCACCTGGTACACGTTGTTGCCAAGGGCTTGAACCGTCTGGGCTGCACCTTCGGGCATCCTCTGGAGGAGCTTGTTGTAAAGGAGTTTGTGAGAAGACACACGGTTGTTTGCATGTGTCAGCAGCCTCCTTTCGAAGTAGCCTTCCCATACGCTGGCTACAAGGTCTACCAGGGCGACCGCATTGTAGGCCTTGCGGCGGCACAGCACAACGTCTTTGAGAATTCTAATTGTGGCCTCCGCAAAGTTCTTTGTGTTGTGGCTTCTTGTCGTGATGGCCAAACGAAAGAGGAGAACCCACTCAGTCTTCCTTTCTAAGAAGGCTTCGACACGGGCCACGTAGCCTCGGTGGGGCATCTGCCGAAGCTCTTCGATGGCACAGTTGAGCTCTTCAGGTGATGTTGCATACATGATCTGTGGGGGACATTATAAAATGCATTTGTTTGCAAAATGATACGGTATCTGCCTTTCTATAACGTCATTTAGCACTATTAGCTTAGAAGAATGCATGGTTTTTTAAGCCCGAACGAAGGAAAACTGTAGTTTATGCTTATTTTGCAGTTGTTGTCTGTCTGCAATGTTCCTGCTTGTTATCTAAATTAGAAACCGACACACTCAATCAGCTACACTTTTAAATAGCGCTGGTATATCGGCTCTGCCGTTACTTTTGTTTAATGCACCATGTACAGTAAAACCTCGTTATAACAAAGTTGAAGGAGCGGTCGTAATTATTTCGTTAAAACCATTAGTTTGTTATAGCCAATGTCCATTTCTTCCCCCTATAAGCAAGCAAGGGGAATTATGATTGCTTTGTTATATCCATTAGTTTGTTATATCCCATTTTGTTATAACGAGGTTTTACTGTTGTAGGCATTCTCAACTCTTGAGCTTAGAACTGTTCCAGCTGGAAATGTTTAATTTGAGCTTGTTTTTGTGTTGAACTGGTAAGTTTTTCGAAATATTTGCAGGAAAGTATTTAAGACAATGAAAACATGTTTAGTGATTTTTTACGACAGGGCAAATCACAAGCTATTTCTTGAATCACCAAATTTTAATAGAATCAAAAAGAATTACTGCAGAAAAGGTAAAAGTACTGTAAAATCATGAGGAAGCGCCCACTCAAAACTTGGAAGACATTCGCAGAACGCTAGGCAGTGGGTGCTTCTTTGGTCAACATTATGCAAAGTTATATCTTTTGCATATTTTCCAAATGTTACAAAAAGAGGGCGGGCTCTTATTGTGGAATGGCCGGATGCTCTGTATCTTGTGCTAAGCATTGACTTCTCAATGTGGCCACCCTGGCTTTTTTAAGGACTTCATGCAGAATCTGAAATGTATGACAAAGATTCGGCATTGCTGTATCTTTGCCAAATATGGGCCGAAATTTGGCGCAAATTTAACTTCGATGAATCCCGAGATTTGACACAGAGTCTTTGATTCAGCAAAAGTTTCGTCCATACCACATTAACATAAGCATTTTAAACATTTTGCTTGCAGTATCTGTGTATATGAAAAACTTGCTTTTGAGATTAAAACAATGAAAATGAGCATATCTTAACCTGTCGAACTAAGATGAACACTGAAAAGTGCCAAAATAGACAGAGACAAAAAACAAAAGACAGAACAGGGGCTTCTTCCGTCTTCTTTCTTGCCCGTGTTTATTTTTAGCGCTTCTTAGGCGATCATGAACCAACTAGCCCAAATTGCAATTTGAATGAAATGGAGAGACTCATCTTGAATAAACCATATTGTGTTGGGGACCGACGTCTGATTAAGCTTTTCCGTAATACTGAACGTTACCCTGTTTGTTGTGAGTTTCATGTCCTTTGTAGAAGCCATGCAACTCCTTTAGGGGAAGAGGTAATGCAGAAGATTGGAGTTTGGGAGAGAAACGTGCTGACAGGGCGGGCGCTGTGCCACGTTTAGAATTGAGGACGCAAAACTCATTTTGCGTGTGTGCATTTCTTTTTATTTAAAGGAAATTACTAAGTTTTAATTTTCTCAACCTTCTCATCTCATTCACTGTCCTGAATGACATGCATTCTGAATGGTGACAGAGAACATTCGGTTGGCTCGGGCCCTTCGATGGCTATGAAAGATGACGGTCTTCGCGCATCTTTGAGAGGCGATTGTGGCAAGTCCAGAATAGTTAAAAATATGTGTCAAATATCATCCTGTAGGCTAGGACATTGTCTTAATTTTTATCTAAGGTGCTTTTATTTTATAGCAAAAAAGCAATTCATTCAGCATCGTCCTTTGCAAGGGAAGGCTTTTTTTCGATTTGTGTTTTGTTTTGTTAGATATTTGCCTTAGAAAAAGTGACTTTGTGCAAACACATTCACTTGTCATTTTGTAGACACAAATTACGCCAGTTTATTTTAGGCTTCTTACAATTGTTAATCGCTATAGTTGGAAGAAGCGATTAATTTAACTTGAATGTGTGTTAAACCTTGTTCTGAATGCTCACATAAGAATGGGCAAAAACAATTTTTGGAAAGCATTGTTCCGTAGTTCTTTTTGAACTTTGAGCATTGTTCCATTCTTTTTGAACTTTTGAGACATGGTTTTGTTTACTGCTGCTTGTAATTTTTGTTTTTCCGTCCTTTACACACAGCTTTGGTCGCCGAAAAGAATGACTGGGGTGATTTTTTTTAACGTGTTGCCTAGACCCACAGATTGGTCCGACTAATAATAGCAGCAAGAGAAGAAAAAAAATATGCTTACAGCACTGACTATCAGTTACCGTAATCGACATATGTGTAGCAGTGACAAGCGAGCTGCCATGTCGCAAAATTTGTGAACTGTTCATACTAGACTAAAATAAAGCGGGCCTGAGCGGACCCGTGAAAATTAGCGTCGGGTTGAGCCGGTCTTCTAAATATCGGCCCTTGCACGCCTCTAGCATACATTATGCGCAGCCACCTTTAGTTAGTCTCACCGTGATTGGTTCCGTCAAGCCGTGATTGGTTTCGAGTTCACGCCGAGCACTGATGCACCACTTGTGTGGAATGCATTTCGATCCGAGTGCATTCCGAAAGCTGACAAAGCGCTTGTGTCCAATGCGTGCCTACAGTGCATGACCAACTAATGGCAGTTACACATAATCTATGTATCATTTTGGAATTTCTAAAAGGGTCTATTGGCACAGCTGGACCACTGCTCAGTGAGGATTTCATTAACAGACTAAGCATATATAAAAAATCAATATGCACCTACCTTCTGAAAGGCGATCATCAGCTCCCGCCTCTCATCCCGGCTCACATTGTTTCGGGCTGCCTGGAGCCAGCGCCACTCGGCTTGCGCCACATGGAAGTGGCACAGAAGCTGGTTGGCCTCGGGCCACGTGGCTTGTAATGCTGCTTTTTCCGCGGCCGAGTTGTCGCTCATGAAGGTGTGTGGGGCCTGTAACATATGATCAACATGCTAGTGCTACAGCTTTGTCAAAAATCAATTATTTCTTTAGTTATCGCTTGTGCTTATTCCTTCTAAATTTATTGTTCTATCATATCTCGAGCAAGGCAGTGGCTGTAAAACAGCCTTCTAATATCTTACCATATGTATTTGTGTCATGGCCATTTGGAGCTACAGTTTTCATCTCCTATTTTCATGGAGATCCCATGGCTCCTAAATTTAGTGTGTGGGGATCCCCCTTATTTCTTTATGAAGAGACACTCGTGCGCCATTATGTGGGCACCTTTCGTAAAGGAACTGTATATTACATTTGTCACTCAGATATTCAAAGCTTGCACCAGAAACATTTTCTTTTATTACAAAAACATGTGATTTTATCCCATAAATTTCTGCGTGCTCTCAGCATTCACAGTTCAACAACCTAAAGGATCTGCCTAAAAGAGCATAGGACGTCCTTAGTGTACAAGTAAAAAGGGCCTCTCGGACATTGTGCTGCTACCAAGGAAAAGCTAAATGAAGCTAACAAATGCGTATTCATTTTGAAGGGTTACTGAACAAAAGGCCTTTTTAGGCGGCCTGGATAAGATATGGATATCACAAAATTAATATTCACCGAATAAAAAAGAAGTTTTTAGCACAATACTTTCGCTGTCAGATACAATTTAGTATACGCCTGTTTTGTGTGCTTTCGTGCACTTGGCACATGTGACGTCAGATGTGGCAAACTTCCAATTGGCTGGAAGGACAATGGACCTTTTCCAGTAAGCTTCTGCGCGTGCATACTCTCTCTCCCCAGGCGTATTTTCCCACTGTCACCATTCTCGGAGGGCACCGTCCCACACAACAAACACTCTCAGCATCTACCTTCCCGCATATTTAGTCTATTTGGATGCTTCATTTTTTAGCAACGGTAGTATGAGATAAAAAGCACAGAAAACCAATGCAACGCACAATGCCAATCTGTTCTCACGGGAGGAAGCATGTTGGGCTGCCCTTCATTTGTAGTTCGCAGATAACTCCCTAGATGGTGCTCGTTACTCTATAGAGGTCCATTGACTATTACAATATATTACGAATATTTTATAACCAACATTAAAAACGTCAATCATGCTCTCGACTATATCAAACTAGCAAAAAGCATGCCACATCTGACATGCACGCAAGCAGATGCAATGGGTGTGTCAGGTTACCCGTTGGGGTTTTGGGAGTTCGTAGGTGATCGTAAGATTAATGCGTAGACTGGGGTTGATTTAAAATTAACAAGACGTTTATTAACTGGGATTACAATCTGTTACACAAGGTTACATTATGTCGGAGGGAAGAGCGGTCGTCCCGTCCGTATCGTACGGCGTCCCGGAGTCGTCTCTGTTGCGAAGGGGCTTCTCCTCGGTGAGACGTAACCCGACGCCTTGCTCCTCTCGCCTCGGAATCCCGCCCGGGTCACGTAAACCGGAAGGCCCGATTCTGGGGGCTCCACGGAGGTGCAATGGGAAGGCCCGGGCTGGACGAAATTTTTGGTCGACTGTCTGGGTCTCTGTCTGGCAGGCAAGGTGGCTCTCCGCGCGGAAGGCGCTTGACGCTGACACGCCCTTCTTTAAATATGATCTGTCCTCAGATCACCAGGTCCCTCGGCCGTGGTGAAGAGTTCTGCCGGATTCAGATCCCGTTCGTTGTAGAGACAAATTTGTTCCACGTTGACTGTCTTCACATTTAATTTTCCATGCGCTGGCGAAATTCGGCGAATCGTTACCAGCTTGTCTCCGAGGAGGTCGGTTACTTCATAGGGTCCGTCGAATCGCGCGTCCAGGGTGCCGCTTCTGGCGCCTATCTGGAGAAGAACGGTGTCTCCTGTTCTAATGTCTGGAGTTCCTCTTTCTCTGCCGTACCGGAGCCTGGAGTACTCTTGGCTTGCCCGCAGGCTGGCCCTTGTTTCGTCTCGGCTTTTGGCGAGCTCGTGAAGCCTTTCGCTCTCGGATATATCTTCGTCGACTGAACCGATGTTCAGTTCTCCCGGAAGCTTCGGGTTGTATCCGTGCATAAGCCAGAAGGGGCTCCAGTCGCTGTGCTTGTGCTTGCTGACGTTTATGGCCAGCGTCGCGTCGTTCAGCACTCTGCTCCAATCATGTCGTTGTCCGACAATCTTCCGAAGCACCTGCTTCAGAGATCCAACCATTCTCTCGACGAGACCGTTCGACTGCGGCCAGTAGGGTGGAGTGTTGACATGTTCGATGCCAAGCCGTCGATGGAGCGCTGTCGTGCGTTTGTTGGCAAAACCTCGTGCTTGATCGGTAATGATGACTTCCGGCACCCCAAATCGAGGAATCCATCGGTTCATCAGGAAGTCCACGTAGTGCGTTGATGCAGTGCTCGGTACTGCCACTGCGTCCATGTATCTTGTGGCGTGGTCAACACATACGAGAATGTAGCCCTTGTTTTCGCTCGTGTCGATTGGACCGAGGTGGTCCAGCGAGATCACCACATTGGGCTTGTTCGGGATGGCTCGAGGACTCAAGCAGCCTTTGCTCCGTGTTATGCGCGCGTTAATCGTCTGACACGTGTGGCAGGACTGTACGTAACGACGCACATCTTTGAGCAAAGTCGGCCACCAGTACTTTCGTAGGATGAGTTCCCTCGTCTTTTCCGTTCCCATGTGTCCTGAGTTGTCGTGAGAAATCGTCATCACAGAGTCTCGGAGCGTGGCGGGAACGACGATTCTCTTTACAATGCGTCCTTTCTCCGTGGTTTCTTTCGTGAGGACGTCGTTCTCGTTGTTGAACGGGCTGTTTTCGTCGCTCGCCAGTGACGCTAACTTCCGGCATTCTGCGTCCTATGCCTGCAGGTTGCTCAGGTGACTGTGATCTCCTGCCACAACGGCGTAGCACGTCAACCCTTTACCCGCCGGTACCGTTTTGAGAATGTCTCCTGGCATACTCTCACTTTCTCCCTGTCGCGAGAGGGCGTCGGCTGCCGTGTTCAATCTTTCTGGCCTGTGAACAACGTCGAACGTGTATTCAGCAAGGTCGAGCGTCCATCGAGCGAATCGGCGATTCGTTGCTCCCTTCTGGGCCAAATACGCCACGCTGAAGTTGTCCGTAAACACAATGAAACGCGGTCCACCCCGCAGGTAAATAGAGAACTTCTCTGTCACTGCCCAATGCAGCGCCATGCATTCGAGCATGTTGAAGTGAAGGTTGGTGTCGTGTTTGTTCAGCGATGGGCTTGCGTATTCGATCACCCGTTCCCTGCCGTCTTGCATCTGACTGAGTATGGCTCCGAGGCCGGTCTGGCATGCGTCAACGTGCACATGCGTCGGGCAGTCTGGTTGAAAGCTCGCAAGATGTGGAGGGTGTTTGAGAGCGTGCTTCAGAGAGTCGACCACGTCTTGGTGTTCATGCGTCCACATAAAAGGTGTCTCTCTGGCGATCAGATCTCTCAATATACGAGTACGTGCTGAAAAATCAGGGATGAACTTACGGTAGTGGTTGGCGAACTGTAGGAACGAGTACAGCTTCTTGGCGTTCATGTGTGGTTGAAACTTGTCGACTGCGACGACTCGAACTTGGTCAAGCTTACGTCCGTCCGATGATATTTCGTATCCGAGGAAAGCGACGTTGTCGCGCACGAGTTGGCATTTCTTAATGTCCATTTTCAGTCCGTTGGTGACGATTCTGACGAGAGCTGAGTCGAGGAGTTCTAGTGCTTCCTTGACTGTTGTTGCTCCTTGCCCTACGTCGTCCATGTAAGTGGAGGTTCGTGGCAATCCGTCGAATGTGCGTCGCATCACTTTCTGCATAGTCTGTGGAGCTTTGCAAAATCCAAATGCCATTCGGAGGTACTCGTACTTTCCGTCCGGTGTTACGAATGCCGTTTTGTGGATATCATCCGGTTTCACGCGTACGGTAAGGAAAGCTGTCTTTACATCCATTATGTTGAAGTACTTCGACTGGTTACGCATGATATCGTCGATCACATCTTCCATGATGGGCATGGGATAGGACGGATTCACAGTCTTCGCGTTCAGCTTCCTGTAGTCGTGAACCATCCTTCGCGGAGTCGTTGGGTGGTGCGGTTGATCCACAACAATCGTCGGTGCGGCATACTCGCTTTCGCTTGGCTGTATGATTCCCTTCTGGATGTAGTCGTCGACCTGATTGCGGATAAATTTTCTGTCCGCTGGGGAGCACCTGTATGCCCGGGATACGACTGGTATGTCGTCCCGTAAATCGATGGAGTGTTCGGCGTGTGGGCAAAGTCCGAGTGATTCTCCCTCTGACACGAAGGCTTCGCTGTGCCGGATGAGAATACACCTTAGTTTGTCCGCTTCATCGGGTGTCGCGTCTTTTGCCATTTCTGACACCGTTTCCTCGATGTCCTGAAGCAACTCTTTGTTTGGGGTTTGTTTTTTCGTGTTGAATCTTACGTATTCCGTCTCTTCGATGGCGGTCGGTGTACTGGATTCTCGTTTGCAGAACGAAACGATTAGTGTCTCTGCGGTTCGACATTTCTGATGCGTGGATGTCGTTGAATCGCGCATGTCGCGTGCGGATTGCTCGTTGTCGTCGTTCGGTATTTGCACGATCGTGACATCGTTCGATGTATGGAAAGTCACATCAACGTTGGCTTGTTGGCGCCAGTCAGATCCCAGTATCACATCCAAAGGCGCTGGCAATGGAGCGATAACTACGTTGGGAAGCTGCGTTCGTGTGGTACCAACAGTGATGTCCAGCTTTGTTGTGCTTTTCGGTTCAAGCTTGCGATCGAGGACTTGAATGTGCTCTTGTCCTTTCCATGGGCTCGTTTTCGTCCCTACGTGAAGCGCGCATGGTGCGATGATGGAGACGTTAGCACCGCTGTCAATGCAGACTTTAACGGGCCTATCGTTGTGCACGAATCCGTCGACAATTGGAAGGCTGCCTCCAGTGGATCGTAGAAAGCAGTTCGCTTGTCGGTTCGTAACTGAGCTCTGAGCGTTCGACGTTGAGTCAGTGTTGCGTCGTTCTTCTGCACGGAGTGTTGCGGTCGTTTTGGGTTTGGTGCAATCGCGTGATAGGTGACCAGATTCACTACAATTGAAGCACTGTCGGGAGGGAGACCTCTTGAATAGGCTGCTCGGTGCGGATTCTGACGTTTGGCGTTGAATGTTGGTCTTTCCTGACGATCTAGATTGCTGTGCCTGCGTGCTTGGTTTTTCGGTCCGTCTTCGACAATCGAGCATGGCTGCGCGTTCGATCAGTTCGATAACCGTTTTGCAGCACTGCGCGGCTAATGGGTTAGCCCAATTATCGTCCTTTATCCCGTTCAAAATGAGGGATATGCGTTCTTCCATAGCAAGCGTATATGGTGCCATGTCGAGCTTTGCGTTTTTAGAGTAAATGTATTGGACGATCGACTCACTTTCGACGAGTTGTCGTTTCTCTTGGAACTCGAGGAATTCCTGCATGGTCATTTTTCGTTTGAACCTCTCGGTGATTTCGTTTTTCCAAGAGTCCCAATCGTTGATTTTTGATCCGTATGATGATTGCCAATCTTTCGCTGATCCGCGGAGTCGTGAAATGGCGTTCACGAGGGAAAGTTGAGGTGTCCAATGAGCTAGGGCTGCGATACGTTCCACCTCGGCGATCCAGTGCTTGATATTGGTCTCGATGGCACCGTCGTAGATGGGGATTGCTGTTGAGGTGTCGCTCGTTGAGTGCACCTGCAGTGATTGCCCTTGTCGTGCCATGGACTCTGAGATTCGGGCTTGCGTCTCGACGATCATCCCGAGAAGATGGGTGATTTCGTGTCGTTCGTTTTCGTGTGGAGTCGACGTTTGCGGGGGAACTTCGGGAATGATGACGTTGCTCTGCGTGGGCGTTGGTCGCGCTGGGATGTCGCTTGGCTCCAGCCGTTGCACTGTCGGGCCGTTGCTGGGAGCCATTGCTACGTCTTTGGGAACGTCTGATGCCTTCGTCAAAGATACAGCTTGGATGAGGCGTTGCATCTCGGCTTGTAGGCGTTCGACATCGGCTTGTAGCTTGTCGTTGCCTGTGGAGAGTTCCTCGATGCGAGCTTGCTGCTCGTTGCGAGTCTCGATGACGGACGTGAGGGTTTCCACCGTGCCTTTAGCTCCTCGTTGATTGGCGTTGTCGTCTAGAAGTCTGCGGATGAGTTGCTTTTTCGGTCCGCTGCATGGGAGATGACGAGACCTCAATTCTTCCACCAGCTCGTATTTGGAGAAGAGGTGAAGATCATCAGCGTTCACTGCGTTCAAAGCGTCGTTGACCGCAAAGCGTCGTCCCTTGGTTCCGCTTTCGTTGACGCTCGTTGACGGGGTGTGGCCGCTCGTACCCTCCGTTGATGTCGGCTGCGCCATGTCAGGTTATCCGTTGGGTTTTTGGGAGTTCGTAGATGATCGTAAGTTTAAGGCGTAGACTGGGGTTGATTTAAAATTAACAAGACGTTTATTAACTGGGATTACAATCGGTTACACAAGGTTGCAAATTATGTCGGAGGGAAGAGCGGTCGTCCCGTCCGTATCGTACGGCGTCCCGGAGTCGTCTCTGTTGCGAAGGGGCTTCTCCTCGGTGAGACGTAACCCGACGCCTTGCTCCTCTCGCCTCGGAATCCCGCCCGGGTCACGTAAACCGGGGGGCCCGATTCTGGGGGCTCCACGGAGGTGCAATGGGAAAGCCCGGGCTGGACGAAATTTTTGGTCGACTGTCTGGGTCTCTGTCTGGCAGGCAAGGTGGCTCTCCGCTCGGAAGGCGCTTGACGCTGACAGGTGCATACTAAATTGTGTCTTGTGGCACAAATATTATGCTAACAAATTATTTCTATTTGATGAACATTCATTTTGTGATATGCGGCTCCTATCTAAGCTGTTAAAAAAAAAGAATCCACCTTTCTGTAATGTGGTTTCTCTAAAACAGCTACTTTTCGAAAAATGTATTGCATCGAAAGCGGGAAAAGTGCAGGATTATTGTACTTTTAACAAGCCAGGATCACACCATGAAAGAATAAGGTGGCAGTAATTGATTTGTTTAGCTTCTAACAGTCATATTCCCTGGCTTTCCAATAGGATGTAAAGGCTTGGCTGTTAGTGCCTTGAAGTTTTAAATTCAAACATGCAAACCAGCAATAAAGGTTTATCAAACAGAGTTTCCTAAGGTATGATCATGTGCATGTGTGATAGCTGCAGTGTTACTTGTTTTAATTTCGATGAGTAAAGTTGGGATGCCACTTTTGCATTGAGGAATAAAGATTTGTGTACTGGCTCGCCTGCTGGGAGGAGACCCTCTCCCTTCAAACCCATGTGGTTCAGAAAAACAGCTGAGTGAGAGCAGCTCGCACATTTAGACTTGCTCTATGGCTTAACGTCTGATGGAGCCTAAAGCTAGTGAGGCAACTATCGGGCTAATGTTGCCTTACCGTAAAATACCGATCAAGCACTCACTCAAAATATGTAGATGAACGCGAAGATTGGGGGAATGGGCGCTTGTTAGTTCATCAATTTAAGCTATATATGTACTGTGCATATTTTTTCAGGTGTTGAAAAATTTGGGGGTGTGCACTTAGTATGATATGGATGGATGCTCAGTATATTACGGTATATATCTCAAACATTGAATGAAGTAGTAACCAGCAAATATATGTTTAGTCTGTTCAAAAATAGACAAAGATATACGGTGGTACTCCGATAATACACCTTCTACAAGACTGCATGGAAATGTCATATAATCCATGAATCGTAAATATGAAAAACAATAATTACATCTACAGCGGTCAGTGACCGCAAGTAAAATATGAGGAACCTCTAGAATTGGCTCTAAATCAACAATCTGCTGCATCCTAAATAAATTGAGACCTTAAAAAAAAGAGAGATCAAGGAATTGTGCACTAAAGGCGTTCCAGACCGCTTGCTACTGCGTATGGCAGACGGGAATCAAGCCCACAAGGGCACAGAGCATGGCATTTGAGTTAGTTTGTTGTAACGAGAGCCCCACCAGCTGCTGTATTCTCTAGTTGTCCTAGCACTTTTTCGGTCCTGGTGACTCCGGCAATTGTTGTCGGAAGCAGGACTTCTCAATTGAGGTTCGCGTAATCCCAACTTTCAATGTATTGTTTCTATGGGGATTTCGATAGGGCTGTGCAAATGCAGCATAAAGTGCAAAACGTTGTAGCGCAGAAACCGGCAGCATAATCTGGGTACCAGGTTCCTAAATCTTCAATTTAGGAACCTGCAAGCAAGTGCAATTTCAATCTTCTAATAATATTGTTGAATAATTAAGCATACGTTTGTATTTAAATAGTCAAAGTTTCATGATATATCCTCCTTAGCACCTCCTCCCACCCCCAGCAGAAATAGACTTGCCAGCCAGTAGCTGTGGCGTCACTGGGGTCAACGGCACCCGAGGCGGCAGCCTGCGGCGACCCCCCCCCCCCCCCCCCCCTCCGCTCATCGCCTGCCGCGACCCCTCACCCCTCCTCTTGTGGCCCGTCGCGACACCCCCCAGAGCTCTGCACTCAGGGGTGGTCCGCCCCCCCCCCCCCCCCCCCCACCGCACCCCCCTTGCGACGCCACTGGCCAGTAGCCTTGCACTGGGAGCAGGGCAAGTGAAGAAAACACCCCGCCGCAATCTTCCTGTCGGTTACTGTAATAACAATTCGCTTAATCATAAGCCTCATGAATATTGATGTTTTATAATCAGCTTACTTACATGAGCGCCACCGAAGCACAAAGGATAATTCTGTTTGAGGAGGCGGAATGCGGCAGTATAGCTCTCCGTGCTTTGAGAACTGTGGAGGAGCACTGCCAGGGGTATGGCACCAGCTGGGGTTGCTGTCAGGTTCACCGTGACAGTGCTCTGGGACTCGTCGCACGAGGCAGTTGAGTCGAGGAACACAATCTGCCTGGCAGTATCCAAGCCCTGGGTACGCCGCATGATGGGCGTGACCACAAGGACGGCCCAATAGGTGCCATCCTCTGACTTGGTGGTCTTGACGTCCACTCCTGGAAAAGGAATACATAGGCTGGGGTTAGAAGCATTGTACCTCCCGGGCTTGGTCGATCAATCTTGTCTGGTCAGTTCTGAAAAAACTATGCTGTACTCAGTCCACCGCTGGCAAAAACTACAACTCCTGGAAACAACAACAAACAAAAACAATAATTTTTTTTTTGCTTGAAGTGCTATTTATGGTGTTGAGTCACTACCCTTTATTTGGTTTTTCTATCGCAGAGTCACATGTTATCTGGCAAAAGGGCAAGTCAAACTGACACTACATGAACAGCAAGGTTTATTATGACCGCATTGCAGAGGTGTTGCAGGGACAGAGAGTAACTCTGTCCTTGCTACAATGCATTCAATGGTTTTATTACAGCAAAGCATTTTTTTGCTATTTGAGGGGTCATTAAAGTTAATACTTTGTAGGTTCTATTCTTATTAGTAAAGCATATGTGCCCAAATGGCCTACAATTTTGAAAATATTTGGTTCACTATACTGTGACTGCACGCTATCATGGAAACGAGTGAGAGAGCAGCCCTGAGGACCTGATTTCGACCGGTGGTTTTTCTGCAGAAAAAAAAAAGCAGGATTTCGGAACATAATTTCGAGATTATTGGGCCCTTGTAGACAATGTTAAAAAAATCCTGGCAAGCTGTAATACCTTGTCATTGCCCATTTAGAGGTTGCTTGCCTTAGAGCCACTGTTTAGGCTACCATAGGGAGCAGAGTATTGCCAACTGTAGTGCCCCCACTCGGCGCCTAGCGGCGAATGCCAAAAGGGTTCCAACTCTTGCACGGTGGACATACTGGGTACAGAAGAAAGCAGCAATTTAATTATATCTAGGCTATTTATTGTATTAAAACTGTTTTTAATATCATAGGCAAGCACTTTAAAACCATTTGTATCACTTGTTCTGGTCTGAGCGAGCGAAGAAGCCCTGTTTGGAACTTAAATCACCTTACGGTAGCAGACGACACAGCGGGCTCTGTGGTGAGTAGGCGGCAGTTCTGCGGTTCTGGCGCCAACTTTTTGTGGAATTTCTCCAGTTAGCCTGTGCAGTACGACTGCTTGCTTTCGGTCTGTAACATGCATCACGCAGTAGTGATACATGAAAGCGTGCCGGTACAATGCTCATCCAGATAGAAACGGGAAGGGGTGGGGATTGCGGCCAGGACCTGTACCTTCTGCAGTGCGACTGTTCATTCCATATGCTCCAAGCTCACACGCACTAATCTAGTTACAGGCGCAGAATCAAACCAGCGTATAGACAATCACGTGGCCCTGAAGTCGCGCGGCTGCGGTGTCGCTGTCGACGGCACGGTGCATGTGCAGACGTTTAATTTCATGCGGGTTTGCTTTCTGCGCTCACGCAGTGCCCACACCTGGTGTGGGCAAATGCGGGCTTGTTTGTAAACAGCGTGTCGGTGTAAACAGCTTGCAGAAACCGAAATTCGCGTGAGCCGAAGCTTCTGCGCATGTGCCATGGCAACAGTAGCGCCACCGCAGAGGCATGACGTCAGAGCAGCGTGTTGGTCTATAGCAGGGGTGACCGAACCGCGGCTCCCGAGCCGCATACGGCTTTTTGCTGGTCACGGTGTGGCTCGCAAATCCCTCGTAAGAGGACCCCCCCCCCCCCCACCCCTTTCCGCATTTCCCCAGGAAAGAAGGAAAGGATTTCAGAATAAGGAACAGCTTACGGTTTGGCAGTTTTGTGCCCCCATACGTGCAGTCAAACCGCTTTTCACTCGTATGTTTCCACAGATCCTGTTTCTTCCATTGTTTGAGAGGACAGGGACTGTCAAAACATGCATGCACTTTGGCTTGGGGTTGAGGAAATGTTCTGTCTCGCGGCCTTTGTCACTCGCCGGTGATACTTGTCCTTTTTAGGTAAAAGATGTTCTCTCCATTTTATTTTTTGTTGAAGGTCGCGGAAGCCTGGGGTGGCCTCATTTATAGCTTCCATGAGCCACAGACGTTATGTTGAAGTTCACGAAGGTTATTTTTACCAGCTTGCAGTTGTGACCCGCAAGCTGCTTTTTTATGCTTTCGGGGGAGGTGAAGGATAGCCAGGCAGCGGTGTTTGTGGGCCTAGGCAGCATGTTAAGAAAAATCAACCCGATCCACCTTTTCGGTGAGCAAACCCGCGTGTAAAGGACGGAAAAACAAAAATTACAAGCAGCAGTAAACAAAACCATGTCTCAAAGTTGAAAAAGAACGGAAACATTGTGACGGGTTTGGACAACATGCAAAGTACAGCTTTGTGGCTTCCTTTCCGGCTCTTAGGCCGGGTCAGCCTGGCCACCCATGGTCTGAGCAGTAGCTGTCAATTAATGTATAGTTTTTATATACCATGCAAACAATATACCTTTTTCTCAGTTCCTCGGAAAAGAGGAGCTCTCCGTGGCCTGAGGGCAAAGATCAAAGGCACTGCATTTCACTCTAGCTTCTGTTTGCCGTCGCTCGGTGTCAAGAGAACTGACCTTCGTCAAAATAAACATCGCGGTTTGTGTTCATTCAGTTATTCGAACTGTTACATCAATTATTGCAATAATATAACTAGGGTTTGCAGTTTTCGGTTTAAACTGATAAAAGTATGCCGAATCGATTTTCGGAAATTCGGTTTTAACCGAAAAAGGTCAGTTCGTAGGTTCGGTGTGTTCGGTTTTACCGATAATAGCCAACAAAAATATGTCGAATCCATTTTCAAAAATTTGGTGTTAATTGAAAAATGCCACTTTGACCTTCCAGCTGTACCGCAGAGCTCTGGCAAAAAAGTGGAACGACAGTGTCTATCGAAACGTGTCCAAATGTATAAAATACACGGATGCCATCACAACGTTTTGGTTTAAAGGGATACTACAACGAAATTTCGGCGCTCATCTTTCTGTCTATATGTGTTCAAAGGAGCAGTATCACATCGGACATACTAATATTTTGTTAAAAATGTCTCGAAAAGGAATTTTAAAACTAATTAAACGATTAGCAAGGAGCACCTGGTGGATGTCGATGTCGTTAACGCCTCGATTGTAATGCTCGTCTAGGAACCTTGACAGCTAGTGACGGAGGTTGTCTCACTTCCGGCCACGACAAAAGAAGAGGGGAAGGAGGAACTCCCCTCTTCCCGAGAATGCCTTTTGTGTGTCGCAGAAGTCGCTATTGTCCCCCTACAAAATTATAGAAGATTAACCCGTCACTCGAAATTCGTACAAAACCTGCCACTTCGGTGGCTGGAACGACTAGGCCATTTTCTCGACGTCAGCCTTGCCATAGCTTTGCTCGTCTTGAGACGACCTACGTCACGATTGCGTTGGATGTCACGTGGTCTCCGCTGGGCCTTCTCCGAGCGCTTGCCAGAGTGGGCCGTTTATAACGAAAAATACAGCCACCAGGCCCAAAACACAAACGTGCGATTGTCTTTTACGGATATTGTGGATCATATTCAACCTATTTTTGTACACGACGGGAATATTTCAAATTTCGTTGAAGTATCCTTTTAATGTGCGCATCATCGATCGGAATGTTGTCCGAAATCCCCCATGACTTCGCCATGTACGAGCGTGTTTTCAAACTCGTTGTAGGAGAGATTGACATGGTGCAAGCTCCGCACCCTGAGTTTAGTGAGTACGCAAAGTATGTTGTGCTTCAAAACGTCGTAGAGTGTCTCTTTTGGTGGTCAGATTTGGTTGATTGACCGATTTTGGCTCAGGCAGCGCTTTGCCTCCTCAGCCTGCCAGTGTCCAGTGTTATTCTCGAAGCCCAGGGTCATATTAACAGGAAAAAAAGAGTGTGGGTCAACGAAAACCTGGGAAAGTTCATGTGGGTTTCCTATAATAAGATCACGTAATCCTGATGTGCAGAAGGTGAAGTTCCATGTTTTCTGGGTATAGGCTTCATATCTGACTTGTCTGTACTTCTGTGTTTTTTTCTTGTTTCTTTTACAGCTACACACACTTGCCCAAAGTACCCATTTCTTTTTCAATGTATCTGTACCGTTATTCTTTGAGTGATCACAAATATTAGAGCTGCAAGAATCATCTTATTCGGTGTCCGTTGGTCTTTATTTCATATTCTCAAAAAAAAAAAAAACTAAACTTTTGTGGGCATAAATATATACCAGAAAGAAAACGGAAAATTCACTTTTTAAATAAACAGAGAAAAGTATGCCGAATTTCGCAAAAATAAAAACCGAAAACGGGGATATCTAAATATAACATACCTTGCACAGCCCAGTACAAAAGGTGGGGGTGAAGCCCTTTCTACTTATCCGTGAAAGCCACAAAGGTCCTTGTTTGCAGCCCTTTCTCCCTTTGTGATATAAAAAAGCTGTTTTCCAGCCTCATGTCATTGGTTATACCCGAAAGCGCAGCACCCTTGCATCTAAATCCATTTCAAACGCTGGAGATGTTGCAAAAACAATGACTGCTGAGACCATGCCAATTGCTTCGACCTGTAAGACGAAAACCTTTTGCCGAAGCGCGGGAAAATTTTGTCCACGTTATCAGCGTGAGTTAGTAAGGAGCGCGGATTGTAGCCGAAGTCAAACGTCAACCAGTCACGCTACTCTGCTCCCTACGGGAGCATGTACAGTGGCGCTAGCTTGCCTTTTATATGTGTCAGCTTTCCTATTTGCAACTCCGGCGACCTATAGGGGGCGCCACCACCAAACAAACAAGGCGGCTGAGAACAGGTCACGTCGACTCGGCCGGACCGCCTGAACGAGTGGCGCATTCAATTTAACAGACTTTCTCTTGTTTAATGCCCTATTTTATAGGTATTTGAACTGCGACGGTTAAGTGTAGTGCACATAAACTTGCAGAGCATAGTTTTGTTTTCCCGGTGCTTTTTGTTCTTTTCATGTCAAACTTTTGTTGCGGAGATTTCGTTCAAAACCGAAACTATGGGCTCCGGAGGGACATTAATATACTAATCAGTTTTGATCACCTAAGGAAAGCTGCGATGAGTACAGCATTGTTCCACCGAGAGTAATTTTCAGCTAACTTGCATGCCTCAACCATTCGACTTATCTGTCCGCAAAATCGCCGCGTTTAAGGAACAGCTCCAGGCGTCTGCTCGGTCAACAACGCAGGCTGCAGGAAAATTACGAAAATTAAGCAAGCGCTTCTTGAGCCAAGGACCATGTTAACCCGCAGGCGCCCGACTAAGCAGCTGATACTCGTATTTCAATTAAGGTTTTAGTAGCAATCGAGAAGTCATTCTGACGAATATGCGGGTTGTGTATGATATCACATGCTATGTCCGACTAAAGCGATGTTCTATATTTTTCGAGTCGAAATATGAGCTTAGTTGACTAGCTGTTAGGTGAACTGCTGAATAAAGTATATTTGACAGACAGAGAGATACTACTTAAGCCTAGCCAAATGGTTCTAGCCGGCAGCACGGAGACGAATACAAACAAACTGTAGAAATTCTTCATCGGAGATTCACGTAGAACCCCTCTGGCATTGAACTTAACTTTGAATCCTGAACGGAAAGATTGAGTGTCTTTTGTGGCCGAACAACCTGAGCAATCATAGACGTATATTTCTGCTGGCTGTGACGGGGGTATAATATAAATATCGGGAGGCACGATAGATCATAATGTCGTGACAGCTCCTAACTTTGCAAGACGCGTTCCCCACCTTTTGAAAATAGACAATTTCCCTCGTTAATCGTATGGAGCGAGCAGGTTTTCTGGAATCAAGTAATTGCGAAATCAGCCCAACTCCTTCAGTGTGGTCCAGAGGCTTTTTCGGGGAGAAGCAGCCAAAATGAATAGCCATTGCACCGACCGTCGTGGGTGGCTCAATCTTGAAGCTAATCGAACACAACCAAACTCAAAAAAGCAGCTATTGGACCTTCCCATTCTCTTCACTACAACATTGGTGCTCCCTCTAGTGAAACACCTCGTCTGTCGTCCTCAGTTCACTCTTCTACATCCCTATAAAGAAACCACCTATCAGTTACCAAGTGGTCGTCACTTTGAATGTGATTTGAGACAGACAAGAAATCAAAACGTTTTTCCATGATTCCTTCCCATCTAAGAAATCGACAGCACGCGACCGTGTGTTGTGGAGTAAACGGGCTTTTAAACACGTGATGGAAAGAAACAATCTACGGAGGCTTCTCTACACTAATGAACACCCAGGCAAACTTAAGAAATATTGGGACTTTTGTCAAATTACATTGTTCGCCACCGCGCCAACAACACATGTCCACAAAAGCCGCCAAAGATGCGGAGAGGCGCAAAGCGACCTGTTCCGGCTGGTTCCCAGTTTTTCCGCTTGATGCCGTCCGTTTTGCTGGAGTCGCAAATTGCATGACAGAGACTCGTCTCTGTTACAGAATTGGAAAGCTGATTCACACAGGGACAAGTACAGCAAAACCGTCAATGTTTGCGAGCCCCTAATCTTCATAAATTTTGCAAATTCATTTAATTCTGAATATTTAAGGGCATGCAAAAATTTTGAGCAAGACTTGAAAAATGTTTAAGAAGTGGCTGGATATTTTTATAAAAGAAATGCAGTAAACAAAGGAAAAAAAAGAACACAAATTAGTAGATTCTTCTACCGGGTTATATTTAAGAGTGCAACCCGTTACAAACAGAAAGACCCTTTCGACAAGGAGAATAACACTTAAGGAAGAATTACGAAAGAGAAAATAAAAAGGACAGAGAGACAAAACATTTTCCAACTAGCAAGGTCATTTATTGACTTGAAGTTTGCATGAGGGGAAGGCAGAGGACGTGAAGGGAAGAAAGGAGTTGAAAAAGCTCGGAACAAGGGGATTGAGCCCAGAGCTGGTAGGCCACACCGCCAGAAGCTACTTTATGTTCAGGGCAAAGTTTAAACATACTTTCCTAAAAAAAGAAGTCAGCTGTCTGCCCCTTGAAGGTACTACAAACACAATGTAACCACAGCATGCATAAGTTCCCAGGAATGCCTCTGTCAAGGGTTACAAGTCACTGGATTTCCCACTTTCTCGCCTCAAACATTAGTGAAATTAAATTGACACAAAGATGCTGCTTGTGCCTACCGTAAAATACCAGGGGAGCACCCACTCCACTTTCACTGAAAACTGTGTTAATCTAGACATGGGCGCTTGTCCGGCTAAATTGGACGCTAAACATATTATTTGCAGAATTTCCAAGCTTGGGAAATGTGAATGGTGGACACTTCAATGAAATGGGCGATTCTGCAGTATTTCATGTTAATTCGCGAAAAATTGGGACAGTTAAATTAGAGTTTAACAGTAGCTTGAATAATGGTTTGTAGCTAGCATGATAAAATGCATAAACTTTTTATTCATACCTATCCTCTCTTTTTCATATGTTTTTTCCAAAACCTTTCCCATCGCTTTTCTGCTTTGTTGGTACACATAAAAATTTATGTTTCTTAAAACTTGACGGTATAAAAAGCACAATTTTTGTACAGGGCATAAGTACTTTCATGCAAACAATTTTAAATTATGCTACTGAAGATTGGCCTCTGCTTTTTAGGTGAATATACAGAAACAACATTATGGAAAACCCATGACTCAAGCTTTCCACAATGTCAAGAATTTACCAGTCCACTTTTATTTTTTCTGTTCTTCCTATACAGACAAATCTGTAGCGTTTCATTGCTTGATGCTGAAGCTAAGAAGAATCAGCAATCCTTACCAAGATCTTCATTACACTTTTGGGTTGGTGCTACTTGTGGGACACAAATCTTGATTATGACGAGTTTAGATATTCCAAAGTAGTAATTGCCAAAAACCTGAGGTCGTCATATATAGAAAGTGTTTGCTGTATGGCTTTTCAAAACCTTGCTTTGCTGTAAACTTAAAGGTCCCTCTCCATTGCAGTATGTGACCCATGCTCTGTTACGGGCAGAGGTACAAAATACAATACTATTTAGAACAGTTTTGGTTTCAAGGCTTCTTGCCACCTTCGGGTACCCTTATAGCTTGTTATGAAACTGTGTACTGCATTTTATTGTTTAGTGATCATGTGAAATGTATTCTTTATATTTTAAATCAAAGTAACTGCAGTGCTTGTATTTTTGTGTAATTGTATCATACTTCTAAGTTCACAATTCTTTCGAAGCAGCAATGTTTGTCGATCTGCGTTGTTGCTTTGGAAATTAAATTATGCTTTGTGTGTGTGTTTTATAATTGAATGTTTTCTTTTCTTAAAGCTCCTGTTTGGACTAGGTTACTGACTGATATTATGTATAGTAAAACAAACTATTAAAAATAAATCAAGAACCGGATTCCCAATTATCACAGATTACATGGTTATGTTTTCGTGCAAACGCTGGTGCAGGACCATGCTTAAAGGGGCAATAAAGGCGCACTAGAGTGAGTTTTGAGGTCCTCGTTTTATGGTCATAGCTAATCTACAAGCTCTAAGCATTCTAAGAAACCTGAAATTGCATTCATGCACGGCCGCTTTGCATATTAGAAAATTGAATAAAGTACCTGGCACTTACCATTGGTGTAGAACGACAGATGGCACTACTAAACCTTGCTGAATATGGTCGAACGACGGACGGCACTTGTCAGCCACTCATGAGTGATGGGTTCCCGTGTGGACGAGCAGCAGACCAGCCCCACTTGTCCAAGTGGGAACCCATCGCTCGTAAGTGGCCGACAAGCCAGAGATTGAGTTATGACAATAAAACGAGGATCTCAAAAGGCACTTTAGTGACCCTTGAAAAGGTTAGTGTTAATAATTAGACGTTGCAGTTATCTCTTGAGTTCACCAATGAAAAGTGTAAAGAGGCTTTTTGAATATTCTTTTGCAAAATAAAGTGTTTTTGTATCTTCCTCAGGAATAAAAACACTGGTGTGGAAAATTATAAATTTTGAAGAACCAATAAAAATGTCAAAAGGAATGACCCAGCAGTGTTTTTTCGACAGTCGTCCATCATGAGTTGCTGGGAATTGTGGCTATATGAAAACCTTTTTGGCCAGAAACATTGTGTGCACTGTTAGAAGCATTGGGTTCTTTTTAATCTGTCCTTCAGGTTTATGGTATAACTGATTATTCAGAACTCGTCTCCATTTTTGCTTTTCTCTTACAGAAAGAAAAAAATTATATGGCCAATAGGTCACTATTTTTAGTACACAGTGGCAACCAGAAGCTGTAGATGTGTGACTGCTGTGACAACCTTACAGGAACCCAGAGAAAGCAACTCATAGTAAAACATAATTCACACTGATGGCAGCTGACTTTACCTTGTTTTAGATAGGTGGGTTCCTTCTCGGCCAGCTTCATCAGTGGATCCACTGCATCACCACCAAAGGCGTTCTTGCGCCACACCCTGAACCAATGGTAGACGGTGTTTCCACACGGTTTCACAGCACCGCTGGCCAGCAGCTCAGCGGTGTGCTCCTGAGCTGCCAGCTTCTGAGCATGGAGCGCGATGGCTTCTGCTGGTGTGAGGCCGTCTTTGAAGTAGTTGTAAAAGCAGGCTCGAGTGTCGGGGGTGCTCCGCAGGAAGCGCAGACCATCGGCACAGTTGAGCACATGATTATGTTCTTCCCTGAGCCTGATGACCGCAGGCAGAGGCAACACCCTCTTCAGGAATGGGTCACGCTTTTTGGTGTCTTTTGTGACCTTCTTTATTTTGATGTCAACAAACGCAGGACAGTCGGTCGAGCGTGAACCAACAGTCTTGTTAAGGTTGCTGTGTTGGCACCGCCACTTTTTGTGGAACACCACCCTGTTGGAAACGAAAACAAATCACACGAGCTCAGATTATTTTATTGTCTGAGGTATGTTTGGTTCAAATGAACTTTTTGAACCACTTTGTTTCTGACAGACAAAAAAAAAAGAAGAAGGAAACAACTTGGGATTTTTTTTCTATCTGGTTAAAGATGCAAGTCCCAAAATAAATGTTCGTAAAAAAAACCAAGAAAACAACAAGAGCTATGTTACAATACGAATTCGATTTGCGGGCGAAACCGAAATTGTGCCCTTGTGGGATGACGATACCGTTTGTACCTCTTATCATCATAGTCCCATAGGGGTGGTTTCGGTTTCGGTTTCGCCCGCAAATCAACTTCGTATTGTAGCATAAATATTAGACAGGCAAACATTAATTTTAAAAGATGCATGTCTTAAACCAGTAAAAAGAATGTATTTTTTGTCATGTGCACACGTAGAGTCCTGCAAATGAACCTTCTTGTTCCTGCAGATTAAAATAATTAGCGGACGGGCTTCACATTAGGAGAGCAGTTCCTGTTAATCAGTTGCAACCGATTGGTGGTGGCCGTGCAACCCATTAACATTCTTACGAGATTAGCAAACGGTATGGTGTGTGACAGATGAGCAGGGAGAGCGGGTAAAGTTTCTGATTACCTCGTTGGGTTTGGAAGTTCCCAGTCCACAATCCAGGATGTATCCGTAGCTTGGCGGTAGCTTTCCAGCCACTGGTATGCAACACCGTCAGTACTGACAGCGACGCGAAGCACGTCGATGTTTTCGACGCAGTTCTCGGTGTCTAGCTCGCACGTGAAAATCTCGGAGCCCGCCATTATCACAGGTAGAACAAAAGCATAACTGAATTCAATGCCTGTAATTCGAAACTTCGCAATTTTCGAGCCTTCGTGCTGGTTGGTGCGCTCGGCGCGAGCGCGTCCGCTCGCGCCGACCGCAAAAGTTTGCAAAAGTAAAAATGCATATCAGCTTTTAAGTTTTCAGGGCGGCACTGCAAATTGTGCTACAAGTCGTTTTTGTATTATCTATTATCTTGGATCGAGAATTTATGCCGAGGGACGTCTGCTTTTCGTAAATGGTAGGGCGTGCTGGCCGTAGCAGGGAAAAACTCGCTGCGCAATCACGTGACCGCTTCGCTCTTGCTTTTAGTGCGGTTAAATTAGTAGTCACAAAAGTAGAAATATAAGTTGAACGACGCATTTAGGTTTGTTTTGATATTGTACAATATGTTTTCTTGCTGCTCATAAATTATAAAACAATGTTTCCCCACACTTGCGGGAACAGAATCTGCTGTAAGATCGGTAGCAGAATGCATAGACATCGGCATCAGTAATGGCGGCAACCCTATCGCTGGTTGGTATTGTCGGAATTTTTCGATAGAAATTGCAGAGAAAATGCAAGCGAGCTGGTGAACTTTCAACATTGTAAAACCCTAAACTTAGGGCAAAAAAAAGGAAACAAAAAGAAGGGGACCTGTGACTGTATTTTTTCCTTTTCGTGTTCTTTTTTTGTCTCAAGTCTTGGGTTTTACAATGTTGAGATTTTTCGTTTTACTTCTTTGCTCTCCGTCCCCCCAATGGTGTCAGTCCACAGTCTCGGTTTTGCGCCTAGGTGTCTGCATACGTCTAAAGACCACTAAAGAATATGGCGACACTTCTAGCTAATATATAGATAGTTTATAAGGTATGTACCTCAGCTGTAGTACAGAAAGGTCGGTCTTTCAAATCTTTATTGGAACGAGCATGGATGCATCAGCTGGCTGGTGAATTCCTATAATTTGGCTAAACGCTGCCGTAAAGAAGCAGAAACACGATGCATAACTAAAGCACTACCAAACGCACCCACAGCCGCCGAGATGTGCCCCAGACCAGGAGCTCGCACTTGTTGCCTGTTCTGTGGTACATCATAGGGTGAAATAGAGCATAGAGACTGTGTGCGTTTAATGTCTTCGCTTTGCAACGAAGTAACCTGGCACTCGTTAACTATCCTGTCAGTGCCCACAATCTTGCAGCTTCTAGAATGACAAGTATATTAATTTTTTTTTTATTTATTTCAGTACAAGTATTGCAGTATTCGTATCCCAGAATACATTTTCGAGTATACCTGCCCAGCCTGGCTATCCTCCTGATGTGCAGCTTCTATGTGGCATATAGATGGTCCTTGTCCCTAATTCCGATACTAGGAAAACTGAGTGGCAGGCTACCCTAAAATAACGAGCAAGCGCCCTCTCAAAATTTTGAGATAACAAAATATTGGGGATAAAGGCTTTTTAAATCATGAATTAAAAACAATACACCCACACACACACACACACACACACACACACAATTGTGTGTATGTTTATACAGCCTAAAGTTAGTCTGCTTTGATGGGCAACTTATCTCGGCTTTAGATGAGCAATTTAGCCAGTGCAGTACAACAGCTAGGCCTCGGTCTTTTAATGTGCATCACACAGTATAGATACACGACCACAGGCCGGTACGATGCTCATCCAGATCGAAACGGGCAGGAGTGGGGATTGATCTCTGGGTTCCGCAGCGCAAACTTTCGCTCCATGTGCTTCGAGCTGGTGTGTGCTAGCCCACTTATCAAAGCATGCATATATATACTGTGCATGTTGTTTTCACATGTTACAAAATGTGGGGGTGGGCGCTTGGAATGGGTGGATGCTCCGTGTTGATATATGTCGGTTTGTACAAAATACACAAACACACAAAAAAAATAATAAAAAACACCACTGACTTTCAACAAAGGTTTATTATTTCTTTCTCTTCATCCCTCCTTAGTGTTACCACTAATAGTGTTAACTTTTTAATGGCTACTTAAAAATAGTTACCCCTTATTGGATTCATATGCACAATGTTTGACAGTAATGAGCCTACATAGAAATAAACTAGTGCATTAGAGAAAAAAAACTGCCGGTTTGTAACTTTAATATTTCCACATCATTTCAGCAGCACTCCATCCAGCCCGGCATGTTGCAAAATTGTGAGCCACCATTGCCGAGAAACATTGCAGGAATCTTGAACACACCGGCGTGATTTTCCTCCAAGACTATTGCGCACTATCCCCACCGCAGTTCCATGAATCTGACTTGAACTCTTATCCCACGCACCCCACTCGCTGGATTTGGCACTGTCACTTTGATCCATTCCCTGCACCCAAACGAGATCTGAAAAGACAGCCACTCCGGTAAGAAAGCCGTCATAAACGCTGTACGTGACTGGCGCGACGACCAAGAGAAATAACTTTTTTTTTCTACGGGTGGGCACCACTAGGAAAAGTGCCTAACACTCAAACGGGACTTTGCAAAGAACTGTTAAAGGCTATTTGGCTTTAACTACGTAGAGTGCTAGCCAACAGTTTCTCGTTACGCTTCCTTCATATTTTTGGTTGCGTGTATTTGTGCGTTGCCAGTGCTCCTGTTGCAAACTTGCTGTTGTGCGTGCCAGTGTAATATGCCTGAAATAAATTGGTTTGTAAAGTTGCGTGCAAGGATGACCAGTTATAGACTGAGAAGTTTGATTGTGGGGTCTTGCGCACATAGTTGACCAAGCTGATCACCTGAGAATATCTTACGTCTTATATTTTTTTTATCGGTTTCAGAAAAATGAGACGTTTCATAGTTCGACTGCACATGCTTCGGGAAGGGTATGCGGCCAGAAGTGCCAGTATTCTGTAGTGGAAATTGGTGCTGATGCAGCCTCGCAAGTGGTTAACACCACCAGGATTTGAAACGAGGACAAACTGAGATGAAAGTGCTTACTTTTTGAAGCTTCGGGGAAAAGATACCGCCACCAGGGTTTGAAACGAGGACAAACTGAGATGGGAGCGCTTATTTTTGTAGGTTCTGGAGAAAGAAACCTCACTGGCAACGTTCAAAGCTGTGCCCGACACGCAGCGCATCTTTTTGCAGCTGCATTTTGAAACCCTGTTGCTGAAACAATGTTTATACTGCCCGAGATCGGTTTCCCTTCATGTCTGGGCTACGTATTTGCCACTGCCGTGTGTCAGTTGGGCCAGGTTTTTGTAATCTCAAAAAGTCCGCTTGACCTCGCACTGTGCCAGACAGTGCGAGGTCAGGCAGGCAAAGCCAGCCCTCGCACTGTCTAGCACAGGCCCCAAGTCACTCGGGCGCGGCTATCAGCGGCTTGCAGACATGTGCATACAATTCATCGCAGATATTCTGAGGCGAGCATAGCTAGGACAAATCTGACACCTGCTGTTTGCAGCATGCATGCACATCAGATAGAGGGCAAATATGTGCATATCACATATTGCAAAGGCTGAGGTAAGTAAAACAAGGACAATCCTTGACATCAGCCAATTCATTCACACGAGCCCAGTCGTCGCTGCAGGTGAGGCTGCAAGTGAGGACGATGACAGTAAATCGCCGGTCGGCTTGTGGAATATTTTCTCACTGCCCGCTTCCTTCGCTAAATTTGCAAAATAATCGCTACACTTGGAGTCGGCTTTGTGCTGCACTGTGGGTGTACGAGTGCGTGCACGCTGCCCGCGAGCATGCTTCAGCTCCTCGAGTGCTCGCGCAATAAAAGCACTGGTCGAGGCAGCTGCGCTTATGGTTTAGCACTATCGGAAACAGCGTGAGCGTGAACGCGCCTCCGTTCACGCTCATATTGTTTCCGATAGTACCTTCTCCAGTGGAGCACAACAAAGCTGACATCGGGTATAGGTATCTTTCGCCGAAAGCGTGAAAATGCACTTGTCCGTTTCGAACGGAAGCGGAGAGCGCGATTGACTCTTGCCGAGGCGTGACAGCGTATATATGCAAAGCGCAATCCCCACGTGCACCGCTTGTGTTCCATTGGCGTCTCACGTACTGTACATGCCTCACTGGCGCGATTCCTGTTGAGGGCAGCAACGGGCAAACGATGTTACGCCCGTGGATACTGCCAAGCGGCGAGTTGGGTACCGCGGTAGGGCAGACGAAGACTAAACAACACCGCAGCAGCGGGTCGTGCGAATGGTAAAATCAGTACCTACACTGGGGCGTTTTAGCGAATGACAAACGAGCTGGGTTTATTTTCAGGCCGTAAACAACTTCGGAACGCCGGCTGCGGTCGCGGGTCCTTAGGCCTAAACACACCCTTCCGTCTTGGCGTACGTGAACGCTACGGCGTAATGCATAAAGCGGCCGTAGCGTGCTGCCCAGTCAGCAATGAGACCTGTGCGCGTATGTTATCCACTGTCACACCAACGATGTCTTCCAATATCTAGCACTGCATCACTGCATTTTCTCGACTGGGGCGTGGAGTAGTCCAAGTCCAAAACGGCGGTCGTCTGCTCAACGGTGGTAGCGGGGGGGAGGGGGGCTGCACGCAGCTTAGAAGAGCCCATAGTGGCGTGGTACCACGTGACTCTGTCAGCCAATCGCGGTATGCTTCCCTCCTCCCTTTCCTCCTCTCCCTCCTTCTTTTCTCTCTCGCGGGGCTCTGCCAGGGGGCATCTCCGAATATGCGGCCGGGAACCCCCAAAACAAACATCAAAAATGAGAACGTTGCTCTTCCGGAGCTTGACGGATAACCTGTGCGGCTTACTCGTTTAAACGAGTAAAGGCCCGTTCACACTCTTGCGACCGAGTACGACTGAGAGAGACGAGATCTCTTAAAACTTGTTAAATGTTTTTAGAATGAGGGAACACACTGGCATTGTGGCGCCATCTATGCGGTGACCCTGGAACTGCATTTCACAAGAGCGAAGGTTTTGCGGGATTTCCGAGGTCAAATGTGCGTAATACCCATAGAAAGGCTCGTTTATAACATTGAGAAAATTCTTTCGAGCCAAGAAAAAAAGGATA